TTTAATTTAATTATCTTAGTTAATATCAGTCACACATTCTGTTTTAATACGACAAGTTGCTAGGTTAATATACTTTTTAAAAAGACAGCAGAGTACAGATTGCAGGCCGTGACATTGAAAAGAGGGGAAACTGACGCCGTGTCTGTGCGGGTGACATGTAGTAAAGTCTTTAAAAAATTCAGTTCCCTAACATAGTGCTAACGTCCCTCTTCGTGTCCATTAACCACAGGAGATGGTCATCGGGGGCCTGCAGCCTGACACCACGTACTCCATCACCGTGGCAGCCTACACCACCAAAGGAGACGGAGCCCGCAGCAAACCCAAGCTGGTGGTGACTAAAGGAGCAGGTCGGTAATAATGACGTTATCATTAGCTGAGCTATAGAGCACCGCAGGCCAGGTGTTATGAGCTACTGGAGCAAAATTAACCTTAAGGGACTTCAATCGAATCAGAAAAAAACAAACATGGCCTATATAGTGTGTCTGGAGTACATAAAAGCTATAAGGGAATGTATAGCTAGGATTGTGCATTAGTGGTTAGCCACACATGGCCTGTAAGGCATTAATGGGTCAGAATGATGGACTAGTCAACCACAGATTAGTAAATTAGTAGCATGTTTAAATTATTCCATTTTAAAGAACTGTCAAGTGTTTCCTAATTGTGGGTTTATGTAGATGGACTTTTTGGTTGTGTCCTGAGTGTTGCATTTTTAGGACTTTTAGATTTTAGAAAGCGCGTCTCAAAACGTTAGCGCTCCGTTTCATTCTACTATTCTAAGGTAGTTTAATTGTACAGGGAAGTGATTTGCTATTTCCATGCAGTGCTAATACTATGGTATTTTTATAAGTACTTTCTCTCTGTACACATGCAGACTAACGTGTTTTAGCCGTTACATTTTTTTAGCTTTTAGTTTTTTACGTATCTGACACAATGAGTATTTTGCTTATAGGTTCGACATTAAGTTAACATGGTTTAAGCGCTAAACATGTCTGATTATTCAGGGCTTCACTTCTACAAGCCAACTACTCGCTAGACAACCCACTAACTAGTCTCTTTTGAAAATGTTGTTTTATACATCCCTAGTGTAAGAATTATGGGGTCTGTCTTATTTAAACTTACCGTGGTATTGCCAGAAAAGTGAATACCATGCTAGTGAATTTTGGACACTACCTTTCTATCTATGTGCACATGCAGATGAGCGTGTTTTGGCTGTTGCGTTGCTTCTCATTGTTTTTTATGTGTCTGACGCCATGAGCTTTTTTTTTTACGATGCCCTGTTAAGTTAAAAGTTGCTATAAATAGCGCTAATCCTGCCTGATTCTACAGGGTTTTCACCAGACAATCCACAAACTAGTCAGTTTTTAAAAATATGTTGTTTAGTGCAAGAACTGTGAGGATTTGACTGAATTTTGGATACTTCCATCATGGTAATGGCATGATATTCTTTGAAGTACCTTTTAAGCAGTAACAGTATATGAATAATGGAAATCACGTACTGTGGATATATATATATAGGCTGTTTTTTGTAATAAATATTAGCTAGCCAGGCTTAGCGCCCAAACTCCGGACGCTGAGGAGACAGGTGTGCCATTCGCAGGTGTCAAGTGTGACAGTGGCGCCACATATGCATGTCCTTCTCAACGCCTGTCTCTCTCCCTTTCGCTCACACAGTGATGTGGCGCAGTCAAAGGAAGGATCTCCCTGTGCTTCCCGCCTCCGAACGTGTGGCGAAACGCTTACAGCAGACAAAAGAAATAAATAAATAAACAAGGGCAGACTCAGCCCTACTTAAAGAAGCGGCATCGCGCTCTTTCATGTGCCAGAACAGAGGGGAAGCTTGACCAATGGGGCTCAGAGGAGCCACTCTGGGGCACTTTCATGCCTCATTTCTGCTACATAATACTGTCAGACAACTTAAGCCCCTGCCTTATTGTATTGATAAGGGCCGACCCGCCCCTTTCAATCCCCGAACCTTCCCATGGCCGCCTGTCATCTGAGAAAGCTGGCCGTCCACGAGCTGACATTCTGCATGTCGGAGATACACTTCAGACCGGAGACCCGGCAGCGTGAAGCCCATCAGTCAGGCTGTACAGTCACGCCGAGATGTCATTCCAGCTGCAAGCGGTGAAATAATGTGTACTAGAGTGAGCATTGGTATTTTTAGTGGTTGAAATAGAACTGAAAACATAAAGCATTAACTGAAATAAAAAATGTTAAAAACTTAAATGTTAATTTTGACTATTTGCCAGCTCAAAAAGTTTTAATTCCTATCAAAAAAAGAAAGAATAAAAATGTACTGACCCCAAAACTTTTGAACTGTAGTGTGTATTGTTATAAAAGATTTCTATTTTAAATAAATGCTCTTCTTTTTTTCTTTTTTATTCATCAAAGAATCCTGAAAAAAAGTATCACAGCTTCCAAAAAAATATGAAGCAGCAACAGTTTCCAGCACTGATAATAAATCAGCATATTAGAATGATTTCTGAAGATCATGTGACACTGAAGACTGGAGTAATTCAGCACTGCATCACAGGAATAAATTACATTTTAATGTATATCAAAATAGAAAAACTTTATTTTACATCGTAATAATATTTCACAATATTAAATTTTTTCCTGTATTTTTGATCAAATAAATGCAGC